CACATTGTAACTGTCAAAAATACTAAAAGTACAAGCAAAAATCATTCTGTTGCCCAAAAGCTGTCAAGTCATTCCAGTTCGTTCTCCCGTTTCATCACAACTTCTTGAAGAAGGAGAAAAGTGCAGAGCTTTCTGTTGCTGCTGCATAAACCATCCAGAGAGTCTCAGCAGACCCTTTAAGTCAAGACAGTTACAACACTTAATGAACCTACAACATGCCGCAGTAACTACGATGCAACCTCCAACTTGCTGTTATAATGATGTTTTGAAATGCACCTGATAAATTTTAAATCTGCTGATTAATAGCTGTGTAATGAAGTAAACAAAGCGTTTTAAGTCTCTCTCTCTTTCTCTCTCTCTCTCTCTCTCTCTATCTATCTATCTCTCTCTCCCCCAGCCTGGAGAGGCATTTTACATTAATAGCTCCAACGAGTTAAAGTCTGCAAATCACACAGCAAACAGGGTTGAGTAATTCAGGGATTAGAGGATTCATACAGCCCAATTCCCTCAGACAGTCTGCCAGCAGACGCGCACCGTCCAGGTACTCAAGAGGTGTACGATGATGCGGCTGGCGGATCTGCAAAAAAGAAAAAAAAAAAAAAGGAAGACTCATTGACAGACGAACCAAAGCCAGGCATGAGGTGGCGTACAGTTTGATTCGAAATATAGATGGTTTTACTTAACGGCATGAAATGTCTCTGAGATTCCGTGATTTTCTGGAGTTATGGAGCCTTTCAGGTTTTCCATATTTTTGATTTCTTAAGATTTAAACATAATTTTCCTCCATCTGCTTCTGAGGGGGAGAAAAAACCCTGCATAGCTGCAGAGTATTATAAAAAAAGGCATTGGGGATCATTTAATAAACTGGACTCTAAAGCTTACAAAAATCCATGCTTCTCCAACAGCAACTAATTTATTCAACAATTTTATGATAATGTGCGTACACATCCAAATCTCTCCGTCATCAAATGCAATAAAAAAAACTGTTTAATTTTTTTTTTTTTTTTAATCATTATTATCGATGTTTTGTTTATTGAGGGTGTATTAAGAAAATGAAATGTATGCAAAAAAAATAACTAAAATAGTCTGGAACCGGGTGGTAATGCTCAGAATTTAATTAAAAGTTGTGGATAGAATATTTTTTTGGTCTAAATACAGGGATGAGATTTAAATTTGTGCTGCAATCATACTTATTTTGCAGTCATTAGAGCCCGAGAGAAGCAAACACTGCAAATAATTATAATTCTCAGGGCAAAATTACGGTTTCTCCTCTTTTCATCTTCATTTATGTTGCTAATTCATGTGAACTCTTTTCTCTTTTTTTGTAGAACTAAACAAAACTTCAAAACAGCGCTTAATTGCTGGATAGTTTGGGGGAAATGTATCGTTTACAAGCTACGTGCGCCGTGAGTGTTTTCGTTTCACGATCCATTGTTGAAAGCCGAATGTACTGATTGAGGGAGCTAAAATGTCAAGTACAGAGGGGCTTGGATTTTAGGTGTTGTCAAGCAAAGCAGCGCAATTTCCACTGAAGGGCATTCTATTCATCAAACACTCAACACCACGGCTCCTGATCACGGAAGCATTCAGGTCAATTTAGAGGGAATAATAAATAAAATGTCTTTTAGTGATGCGTTTTCATGCAGCAGTAGGATATTTCTGTTTATTTTGATGCACAATAGAGAAAAAACAAACATGAGCATGATTTTTAGGGTGTGTTTATGAATAAAAAAAACTAAACAAAGCAGCTTTAACCAATCAGACAACGGGCTTCTTTCCGCCTCTTTCTGCCTGCTGTTTCGCGAGTCGTGGCACGTTGTCGGTGTTTCGAGCTCATTTCAGAGGATATTTAATTTTGTGCGGATGCGACATGGAGCAATTTAAAACACCTGTCCACAGGAGGCCGTGCTGAAAAACACAACCCATTTCAAACACATTAACAAACAATTTAGGTTTTCAGGAATAAAAAAAAAAAAAAAAAAAAATCTTGGAAAAGCAAACAGATCTATTAGCAGCTGTGGATAAATCTTGGCTTTTGCTGAACTTAGCAGTGAGGGTTGTCGGGGGGTTGTGCATTTGTACATCAGTAGGATGTCAAGGACAGAAAGCATCTGGAAATGTCATGTTATGTACAAAAAAAACAACAACTAAGATTTAATTTAAGGCAAGCCATTTCTTTTAGAATAATTCTGTTCCACTGCTTCTGCACATTATCTATGAAAAAAATGCGTTGTGTGCAAATGAATAACTATGGACCATCTGAATAATGTAAGATTGGTGCAAAAAAAGGCATTTGTTTTTAAAGAAAACACTGCCTGATACTAAAGGAGCATGGGCTATGTTTAAGTTCTGCAGGGCACTTTGACTAACATGTGGTTCCAGATGTTTTTGAAAGTTTGTTTTGATACCGTTTGCTGGCTCTCAGTTTACTAATTACGAAAATAAATTTCCTTAATGGGAAAATCAGCCATATCGAAATAGATGTATTTCGCAAAACTACAACGGGAGCATTTTTTTCACATCACGAGTCATGTGATCAACAACCAGATGTTACTATTGATGGAAAAGACCAAGGAAACAACATGAAGTAGTAGGACGGTGGTTTGTTTTTTTTTTGTTTGTTTTTTTTTTTAGACAATGTGCCAACACCGCTCAGTTCATAAAAAGTTTAAATGTTTTGAATCCAGAAGTATTCTGTAAAATTGCAACAATCTCCCCAAAATGGCGCATTCGTAGCCGCTCCCAAGTATGAGGAACTTGTCGCTCCAATGCCTGAATAAGACGCCATCTCCTCTGATTACTGATGCACTAGCGCCATGTCTGACTGATGAATATTTCTTATGTAACTCTTTACATCCTTCGTTTCCATAATTTTTAATGACTTACCGCGTGAACAAGCTGATTCACTTCTGGTTTTAATTTAATTTCGTATTCAATGGAAACACCGCAATTGCAAAATTGTGATTTTTCGACATGAGGAGAATATAGACATTTTGTGCACATTTGTAATGAGAAAACCTAGCTACTGATAAGATTGGCTCCAAGAGGAGCTGTATGGCTTTCATCCTGGCTATGAAACAGTGAACCAGATATTTACCGTCGCAGAATTCCTGAAGCTGTTGTAGGAGAATGCTTCTAGGGGATACATGCGTTTTGAACGCATGTATCCCGCATGTGTTATGTAAAAGGTGCTGCAGGAGAAACGGGGAATCCATGTGGCTTTTAAGGTTGACCAGGATCCCCCCTAAGTCGAACCCCTTTGCAGGTCTTCCAGACATGTCCCGTTGGGAGTAGACCCAAGGGAAGAACCCAGAATTTGTTGAAGGGACCGTATATCCAGTCTGACCTGGGAACGCCTTGAGATCTGTCAGAGAGAGCTGGAGGATGTTGCCACTTATTGAAAAACATTATACAGATTTACTTACTCAGACTGATGCCTTTATTTCTGCTAATTATGATGATTTTCTGCTTACGGCAGAAATATTACATCAGACCAATAAACATTTTTTAATACCGAAATAAAGGCTGACTGAATTTTATGTTTAATACTGTTTTAAAGTCTCTCGTCTTTTTAGCTTGGTTGTCACAAATAGATTAATGTACCTAGTCTTTTTTTATTTTTTAATCTGGTGAAGTCATTCTTTTGTTTGCTTCGATGTATAACGAACTGTTGAAGATCAGTGTAGAATATTGCAGTCCAGATCCGTTTAGTCAGTGTTTAGTCTTTTCTTTATTCTGATGTGGTGTTAAAAAGCATAGAGTTATTTCTTCTTAAGAGGTTTTGCGCAGATAATAAGCAATCTTTGTTTTGTGTAACATTATTCAGTTCAACTTTGATCAGTGCAAGACAGGAATGTCCAACTGCGGTCCTCAAGAGTTAGTGTCCTGCATCTTTTAGGCACGCCTCTACTCCAACACAGCTGTAATAATGGAGGAATTTCCTTAGTATGTCATCAATTGGCATTTTTTTTTTTTTTTATTCATGCGTGTTTAACTTGGGGAAACAAACATGCATGATACTGGGTTAGGTAAGATATCTTGGATCTAGCTGTTTTAGATTCAGAAGGAGAGATGATCAAATGGAACAACCCTTCAGTTTTGTGCCGTAGGAGGCCCTGAAACACTTACAAACACACGTCGTTAGCGGCTAATGGTTAGCAAGACACAGGATCCTCACAGCACTCACAAATTAATCATATGTTGTCAGTGCCTCCATTTTAGTTTTTTTCTACCTAGTGCCCTAAATGTTGCTACATAGCCAATTTAACAGCAGCAGTTGCTTTTTATAATAGTTATGTGTCAGCTAAGTCTAAGATATTTATTACCTGAATCCATCTCCATCAGCACATCAGAGGAACAGAAAAGCCTTTTTGTTTTCATTTTCCTGACTTTAATACACTGTTAGTTTATAAATTACTGAATGACTTAGCACAACATTAAAGACCTGTTGTCGTATCGACCTTCCAGACCAGTCAGGTCTAGTGGTTCTAGTCTTCTCTACATCCCAAGAACCAGAACCAAATACGTAGATGCAGCATTCAGTTTTTACACTCAAAACTCTGGAGCAAACTTCCAGAAAACAGCAAGACTGCTGAAACATTGAGTTCCTTTAAATCAAGGTTAAAAGTCCATTTGCTTAGAGTTACCTTTGATTAAAAACAGCTGGAACATTGATCAATATATTTGATGCGTGTTTGATGATTATTTTTGATGATTTCGATGATGATCTACATTAGACAAAATCACATGCTGACAGCAACTGGATAGACGGACTTTGACTCACTTTGATGAGAAATACAGCAGAGTTTTAATCTCTGAATCAGATCTTGGAGCACGTTTAGATATTAGAGTCTGAACAGCTGTGGTTAAACATTTTATCTTTCCCCAACATGTACTTTTATTTGCTTAGAGTAAACACATCAGAGAGCTTATTCTCCACGTCGTTGGCTTCTCTGAAACATCTCATTGGTTCTTTTGTTGTGTGCTTCTTCCTGCTCCAGGTGGTGGGTCAAATCGACAAATTAACGTCTGACTTCGACTTTGACCTGGAGCCGGATGATTGGACGGTGGCCACAGCCAGCAGCACATCCAGCAGTGAGCGGGGTTTGGGAGAAGCCTTCAGGCTGGACTTTCTCAATGCAGATGTGCTCTCCGACAGCTGGGAGTTCTGCAGTTACCTGGAGGCCGCCGGCGCGGCCGCCCGCAGGTCCAGCGAACAGCCGGGCGATCTACGACAGGACCTGGATCAAGGAACTATCCCGACCCAGACCCTGACCCCCACCACACCCCCCACCACTGCCTCGGTCTACTCCCAGATGAATGGCGGGCTTCCAATCCCCAATGGACCACGCATCATTACTCCGGACTCCTCCAGCGAGGAGGCCAGCAGCTCCACGCACAGTCAAAAGACCTCGCGCACCTCTGGCACGCGAGAAAGAGTCCGCTTCAGCGACAAGATTCTTTACCACGCGTTGTGCTGCGACGACGATGAAGAGGAGGAGCAGGAGGAGCTACGGGAGGACAAGAGCGGCTGTGCCACACCAGACAGCGACACAGAGCCGGGTCTCCTGGGCAGCTCAGTCGCTCCCAAGCGTTCTTCCTCTGAGCACTCGCTCCTATATAACTGTCTGGACCCTTCCTATGGCTCCTCGCCGGTGAAGGCGATGACGGGAGCCCACACGCTACCCAGGAAAGGTCTCTTAAATCCCGGCTGCCGCAAAAAACTGTTAAGAAATAGCAGCACACAAACTGTCTCTGACAAGAGCACTCAAACTGTACTGCCCTATATTCCAACCAAACAGAAAGCAAAGGACCACTGAGGAAGCAGGAAATCTCATGAAGAGAACTGTGCATTATTTAATATTAAATACATAGCTCATAGATTAATACACAAATAAATTACTAAATAAATAAATGATATATGGGAAATCACTTGACTACCCAAACTCATTCTGTGGCTCAGGGAACACACAAAAAAAAATTATATAAAAGACAATGTAAAGTCTAAAGAAGTCCATCTATACTCAGGTTAAAACTTCAATGAAGAGACCCACGGTGGGGGAAATTATTATTTTTGATCTATTGCTGAATTTGGTTTTTAATTTAGTGAAATACAAATTTGGTCCTGAAGCAAAACGTGATTTAATACTTGGTGGTGATTCCTAAGTAGCACGGTGTTGTTGGTGACCAGATTCACAGGAATTTCCGGAGGGTTTTTTGTTTACGTCTCTTAATTTACTCTACAAATCCTAAAAGTTTTGAGGCTTTTATTTTGACAACTCGAAGTGTCTGCTCCTTCAAAAGTCTACACCGTCATTTCTAAAGGGATTAAGATCTAAACCCTGGTTGGATCTTAAAGTTCACTGTAGAACTTTAATGTGTTGCTTGTCAGGCTGCATTCGAGTTACGAAGGAAGTGGGAACTCTGAGCTGGGTTTGAAGTCAAGGTAGCAGCGTTCTGGTTGAGAAGTTGAAATTTCAAAATAGCCACAAACATTGCTTGCAATAGGTCTTGTAAACATTATTTTATTTGCTTTACTTTCCATAAGCAAACATCACTTTTAGTTTTTCAGGTTAGAGTTACAAGTTTTGGTTTTAGACACTTTTGCATGTGTGTCTCGTAAAATAAACAGGTTTCTACAGTTTCTTACTGCAGTTGATGTGAGCAGCGGCCATATTGAAACCAGAAGTCCGCCTAACAAGTCGTAACTAAAACTGGAACGCACTATTAAGCCACTCCCATGTTTCCTTCACTTTATGGTTTGGGTCATTGTCATGCTGGAAGAAACATTCCTAATTGGTCTTCAGTGTTTTCTACCCCACGTTGTGAGATCTTGCATGGAGCTCTAAAGTTGGGCCAACCCACTTTTATTTTGCATCTCTTCTGTTTTAAAGTTGTTGGACCAGCAGCGTCCTCTTTTTCACCGAGCTTCTTGCCAATGTGGGAAATCCATAAGACATCATTAGACCTCTCTTTGGTCTCGACCATGACAGTGGAAAGGGTTCAATAGATGTGGTGGATTGCAGTATTTGATGTAGTTTTAACACAGTACAAGTTCAAACCATTAATTTTTTGGTAAGGAGATAAACTGACAAATTCAGCAGAAGATCAAATAATTATTTACCCCACTGCATTAAGCTGAAGAGAGAGATCTCAAAAATCTTTCCCCCTTGTCACACAATTGAAGGAGTCACAAGGAGAGAGAGAAAAAAAAAGCAAAGGTTTGTCTATCATGTGTAAACAAAACGCCACTCATTCTGTACCCTAAATCTGTATAAACATTGGCTTTTTTCATGTTCTGGTAATTTCAAATGTCAGGAGGATTATTGCTTCCAGGAGGGAAATGTCTCTAGATGCATGTGTCAAGGCGCTTCCTCCTCTCTTTGATGTCAACAAACGACTCTGAGCGTAAAGTCAGAAAAACAACACCATTTACCTTCGGTTTCATAAACCATCTCATTGTGATCGCTCCTTGGTCTGCCGTGGAGCCTGAAACGTATGAGTGACAGGCAGCAAAACAGATACACAGGCACTTCGGAAGTAGCGCTCCACAAAAGTGACATTTCAATTTTTGTCCTTCGATGTGCCTGCTAGCGGCGACACTCAATGTAGAAGCGGAGCTAAATAGGATTGGGTGGATGAGGGGTTTCGGTGGGGGGATGCGGGGGGAACAAGCGCTAAAGGTTTTGTCTCTTCATTCAGTGGCCCAGCGGGGAATTGAACTCGGTAGAGCAGCATTTTATTCACAGGGCCAGCGCCAATAGCCGTTCCTGATCAATATGTTAGAGGGAGGTTGCAGTGAGAGGTCTCTTTGCTGAGCGTGCAAGCCACTCTCCTGGGATCTGTGAACAAAAACTCACAGTCAGATCTATTTACTTACACTGAGCAGAACAAAAATTAGAATTGTAGCCCTAAAGAACTGACATTTCAAAAAGTGTGGGTCCAGGAGCGGGAGCCGGTGACTGAAGAAAAGAGTGTTCTCGCTCAATGACTTCTCTTTACTTTATTATTTTCCCCCCCCTATTTTTTTATTTATTTGCTTTCCCCACACACCAATGTTCTACCCTGGGAAACAGCTTTGTGAGTGTGGTCCTCACACCCCTGTGTTTTCAGTATTGAAAAGAAAAGTAAAATGTTGAAATCTTTAACTGGAAAATCCTTGCTGACTCCGTTGAGGCCGACCTTTCTGCCTCTGGTCACCCAGTGGGTACTTAGCCTTTCATAAGAGGCAGGGATTATGGAGCCTTCTTTCTCTGCTATAAACAGTGCCTTGCACAAGAATTTATACCGCTTGAGCCTTTTCACCTTTTACTCACCATAGTACCAAAGTTCAGTTCATTTTACCGGGGTGCTATTTGACCTGCCAACTTAATGCAGTGCTATAATTAGGCAGCATAGAAGGAAATACATGTTTTTTAAATATTTCTTTACACATTGACATTTGAAAAGATTGGTGCACGTTTGTATTCAGCCACCTTTACCCTGATGCTCCATTTAAAATCCAGTCACTTGCCTTGCTATATGTAATCCAATTCAAGTATAATTGCAGATGTCCTAGAAAGGCCTCAGAGGTTTGTCAGAGAACGTTATTGAACAAACAGTATTAAGGAGAAGAAAAACACACCACAGAGATCAAGATAAAGGTTGTCAAGTTTAAAAGAACATATCAGCATTGGACAGCTCAGAAAGCACTGTTCAATATGTCACAAAGAAAAAGAGTGTGACCTAACTGCAAACTGCCAAGATATGGCTATCCACCTAATGTGACAAGGCTGGGCAAAAAGAGCAACTCATGTCAGAAGCATCCAAAGAGCCGTTAACTCTGGATGAGCCACAGAGACCCAAAGGTCAGATGGGAGAAAATATTGGCAGGACAACCATTAATCCTACACTTGACAAATCTAGTCTTGTTCAGAAGCTACCAATATGAACGCCATTGTGGAACGAAAGCCTTAAGAAGTCCCACATGAATTATGCCATAAGCCATGCAGAAGGAGGAGTTCTGGTCGGATGAGACTATTTGGGACTAATGGAAAAAGAACAGTTTTGCACATCCTTTGGAACAAACGACGCTCACGATTGGTGGCAATGTCATGTTGTTGCAATGTTTTTCTTTAGAAGGGATGACAAAGCGCGATGCTGGGTGGTGTAGTGGTAGGGCAGGTGTCCAGTATAAAGAGGCTACAGCCATGGCTTAGCCAGAATATGACATAGTACCAGAGTTGCAGTGGACCGGTTAGAATGGCCCAGTCAAAGCCATGACCTAAATTCAATCATGTATCTGCAGCAAGGCACAAAAATTGATATTCACAGATGGTTTCCATCCAGTCCAACATGATTGACATAAAGAAGGGTCGTTAATGTCAATTTCTGCGAAAGCTGGTTGAGACAAAAGACTTGCCTTCGTATCGCTAGTAATTGGAAGTACTACAAAGTACTGAATGAATGCAGAGGGCCTGAACACAAATGCCTGACGCTTTTATTTGCATTTTTTAAGACAATTTATAATTTTTCTCCCAATTCACAATTAGTCTTTAATTTCTGTTTACCTGTCACAAAAAAAGGTTAAATACATTGACGTTTGTGGAAAAAAGTTAAAAAGTATGTATGTTTTTGTTTTTTTGTAAATCACAAGATACATTTTCTAAATTGCCAAAATTGATAGGAAATTCCTCAAATGGCAAAAAAAACAACAACAAAAAACAACTTGAAGAAATAAGTCAGGTTGATTTTATCTGAGGCCATCAGCTCTTGTTCTTTACTTTGTGATGTGTAAGGTGTTCAATAAGTGCAAATGACCGCCGCAACATCGAAGATTATTAGGGGCTGTGGAGATTTCCTTCCAAAACAGACCACCTCTGTTTTTGTTTGTGTACTCCTGCGTAACAGTTATTGCATAGAGCACAGCTTAAGGGAATTACGGCTTTGCTGTTTAGGCAGCATTAAGCCTCAAGAGCCCAATATAAGGAGAGCGGACAGTGCACTTTTGAGGCAGGCAGCTTGGTAGACGCCGCACAAGCAATAATTAACTCGAGGTTGATGTGGTATACATGAATAAGGCAGAAGTGATTTCTTACCCTGGTTTTTCACATGTTTTCTTTAGTCTTAGAGTCGACTCCGACAACGTCTGGTGCCTGTGAAGAAAAGCACAGAGGAGAGATCAATGACTCGCTCCCTGAAGCATCGGCTGCCATTTCCCTGCTTGATAGACCAACAGGCCATCATGGCCATTAGCATAAACAAACAAAAATATGCCTCTGCAAAAGCGGAGCATCAATTACAGTAAAACAAAGCTCATCTTGTGATGGCAATGCACCTGCCCGATAGGAGGTAGTTATTTCTTTCTCGTGCACCAGGAGAATTTATTAGTCGTATCTGCAGTGAAATCATCTCCTCAAACATAGAGCCGTTTGGCACCGACACGGAATACATTATCATTGGGGACAGATTTGAGATATTTGGACAAAATATTAGCAATGTCTCTTTTGCCAACAAGCTCATTATTCATCCCTAATAGGGCAGAGATGTATCCTCAGTTCTCTGTAGGACAGGGACAGCAGGCATCCAAAGGTTACGAAAACCAGAGTGGGCCGATGCCAAAATGATACGTCAAGCAGAAAGATCTTTCTCCCCCCAATAACGCTGAGCACCAAGCAGTTGTTTTGTATTTTGTGAATGTGCGTTGTACCAATACGTCATTGCTGCCATTGCACCTTGTGCGTGGAGATAAGTGGTGTTTTTCTGACTGGTATTTAATTTCATATTTGCCTGTCACGGCAATTAATGGAGATCAATATAACCAGACGCAGCACATCCCCCCAGGAAGTCGTTTGGCTAGACAAGTCCATAGGAGGGGATTACACAAAACAACTCTTTCAGAAGGCGGCGAAATGAGTCATGCCATCTGTGTTTTGACATCAGCGCTGGGCATGTATTGGTTCTCTTTGCTGATCAATTCTCTAATCACAGCCTCAGGGTGTGGGGGGCTTCAGTCACTGACATTTTTTTAATATATTGGTTGTATTGCTTAACGTCTAGGGTATATGGATGGGTGTGATGCAAAAATACAGAAATATGCACCGAGATGCGCTTTTTACTGCTCTTCACATATGCATCCTTGACGTTCATTTCTCTGGCCTTTTTGAAAGCAGGTTGAGGGAAATGGATGGGCACATCTTTACGTTCTGTGCCGACTGCTAAAGGTTCATGAAGTGAGGAGTGAGGAGGTCAACACCATCTCATTGATTACTATAGATCGGTTAACAGCTGGAGTAGCTAAATTTGATTTGTTGCAGCTATGTGACATTTATATCCTCCCTATCTTTAAGTGCACACACACTTTTATGTTCGGCCCACATCCCACACTGCCTATGACCGGCAGATAAATAATGCACCGTCTCAGCTTCTGTCCAAACTCGTGCAAAGTCAAACTGTGAGCAAAGTGCTGAACCTTTAGGTCTACAAAACAGTTGACACAGGGTTGCACGGCACATGTTGTGCACGATAAAGACAATACTACTGCTTTTATGCACACACAATCAGCAGTTGCAATCAGCCACAAGCGCAGTACAATATAGTGGTCCAGCAGAGCAAATAGCCACCCTCAGAACTGAGGGGTGGCCGGACAAGGCCAGATCAACCATCAGTCACCATTTGATTGGGTTTGCGGAGTGATTAATGATGAACCATGCAACCACCGCAGATAAGATTAGACCTTCACAGGTGATGAAGGGCATGGACTGTGGATATGCGTGAGAGGGGGGGAAGAGAGGGAGGTGGCTCTTGGGACAAAGAAAAAAAACAATGCCATCAGATGACCTGCTTCACTATAAGAGAAAGAAAACATTTACCATGAAGTGTGATATTCTAAGAGAAACAAGAATCATGAGGCACAAAACAGATAATGTTTGGTGACAGATGAAAAGTTCCTACAAGGTCTTTATGCATAAAGCCGTCAAAGCCAGCTGTAAAAACAAGGCAAAGGGTGATTGATGACGTTGGAAAAGTTGAAATCAATTCCTTTCAAGCACTGTTTTTCATATAAAACTGAGAATCAACCAGCAAAACTGGTGCAACAATTTGCATTTTAAGGAATGTTTCTGACAGAGATCGAATTTCCAAATTAGCTTAATTACAAATTTTATTTAAAAATGTCAAACTAGTCTAAATAAGACTATCTTAGTCTTATTTAGTTATAGTTAATTATTACAATAAATAAATTAATACATTTCTAGCTTTATTTTGACTAACTATGGACACATCAAGCTATTTTCTTATTGATTAGATGACAGAATTGTAGCATGCTTTTAAATTCAGATGTAAACATGTACAAGCTCAAATTGAGTACAGAGCAAACTTTGTCACAGTTCCAGGTTGTGCTTAGGATGTAATGTTACTAAAATAGGAATATATTAAAAGTTTAGAACAGCCTTTTGAACATTTTCTACCAATATGAAGCGCTTTCCTGACAACCACAGGGCAACCGTCTCAGGGTTGGGAACATCAGCATTTATGTCTTTAGCACTGTTGCTAAACTAGTTAAAGCTGGATGCAAATTTCTTGCTCCAACACAGAAGCTTTCTCAGTCACGTGTGTTGTGACAGCTTTTAACTTCTAATAAGCTGACATAGTTAAGCCCTAAAATATTCATACTATATACATTTATATTCATACCATATTCATACTTTTGAAAAATTACTACAACTCAACCTAGAAAGCTCGTGTCTGATTAAAAAAGAATGAAACATGTTCCAAAGGATAGTAAACAGATGAGTATTAATTCCAATCTGTTTTGGTTTTGTTAAAAAATGGCAGGTGAAAATTATTTATATTGTTTCTTTTAGAGTCGATGGAAAATTCTTGACTTGCATTACAGCAAATAAACTCTTCTCATAATTGTTGAACAGTTTTTTTCAACATTTCCACAGATATTTTGACAAATTACCTTTGGTGATGAGCTGCACTTCTTAAAAGGCATCTTTGCCATCACCCTAATCTTTGGCTCCCACCACAGGTTCGAGGCTGGACTCTGGCAGGGCTGCTCCAAAGCATCTCAAGAAATGTGTTGAAAACAAACAGAAACAAATTGCTTTAACTTCGGCCATGGATCAGTTTGAGCTTAGCTTTTCCTCCTAATGCCACCCACAAAAGAAAAGCTCATCAACCAAAATCATTTTGAGAGACACAGCACACAACAATTGAGGGATACTAATATCCAACATTTTTAAAATTAAAACAAAAATGTTTAGTTAGAATTAAAAATCCCAAACATGTTAATTTGAGAACATAACTCATTGAACATTATATTTACAAACTAAATAAAAGGTGATTATAATTCAGTTAACTAATTGGTAATATGAACACTCCTCCAGTTTATTTTTATATAGTGTACAGTCACCAAAAACTAGAAGTAAATGCACCAATAGACTTGTTAAACTTCCATAAAGTAATATGATTTCATGATGTGGAGCTTGAAACAAATTGATTGGCACAACCATGTGAACTATAGTTATGGAAGGGGACCATTATCATCACATTAAATGATTAGTAATTGGCGCAGAGCCCAATGACAAGTTAACATGTGGCAGAGAGGTCTGGCGTCGTTGATGAAGCAATTTCTGATGGCAAGTTAAAAAAATAAATAAACAAATAAAAAAAAAGATCACCTGGTGTGAGAAACAAGTGTGGATGAAGTGCTACAAGACCTCAAAATGTACTACAGCAGAGATGTAACCTTGAAGCATTAAACTGCAAACAACTAATGTGTTTCATGACATGCTCGGCTGAGCGGAGAATATATCAAGAGACAATTGAATTGGTCCGGGGAAAAGACAGAAATTACAGGAAGCATCACTAAGACACTTCAAGAAGCTAGAGGGTAGAATTATCAGAGGACAGCTGCAACGATACAAAGTTCCTAATGTGTCGAGAAGAAAAGATAATTTAAGGAAGCTCCTGTTAAGTGGAACTACATATGAAAGGCGGTCAGTTGAATACAAATGCTGCTAAGTGCACCTTTCCGCGAGTGTGTCTAATTCTGTGAAAAAGGAGAAAAGAAAAAAAAACTCAAAAGAAAAGCATCAGCAGTCATTTCCAGTGCGTTCCAGTTTGGCAGCTTGTCAGCGTTTCCATGCTACTTTACAGGTAAAGGCCAAGGAGGCAGGGAATTGCTGACAGTCTAGTATATCCAACAACTAAGAGTTAAACGATGACGAGACAGGTGCTGTGTATACGGTGAGTCCCCAAGCGGCCCTTATTTCACCCTACAAAGGGGTTTCCCTCATCAGTCATATTTACTGCTTTTACCACAGTGTACACCCTATACTTTCCCACACCTTCCCTTCCCCCCTTATATTCATTTCTGCCCATGCATGCGCCTGGCTGCAAATAGCCCCCGATGGAAGGTGGCAAGGACAGGTAAGAGTCATTCCTCTGTCAGTACTCTGTGAAGCAGAAGAGAAAGAAATGACTTGATGCTCAGCTATCCTAAAAAATGTAAATGACGGATTATGCCGGTGATTGTTTCCAGTTTTCTGTTTGCAAAAAACGAGAGGAGGAGGGACGGGGGGGGAAGAAAAGTCTCACTGAGGTTCTAATTACAATCATTTTCGCTGTACTTACCTTGCTCCAATTAGTTGAGCTTCTCTAGTGTGTTTACAGGGACCTCTTTGCTCCAGCTGTAAAATGGGTCACCAGATGTACAATATAGTGGGGGGCCTCAATGTGGTGCTTAAGCTGCTGCGCGTTTCCAATACATTATAGCAGTGATCCGTCTCAAATGACTACAATTATTCAAATGTCAGGCTTAGCTTAGCGAACTCACGGTGGCTTGCTGACAGCGTACCTTAGAGGTGTGTCAAAAGATTAATGGCAGTGGGATTTCTGTGACGGGGGCATATTGTACGTTAGAACACTAATTCTGGGATATGTAGCTGGTGGATACTATGAAACTTTAAAAAGTCATTTGTATGCATTGCTTTGTTTCCTTTTTGAGGTAGCTGAATATGAGTAATTATCATACGAACAGTTTAATCATTTTTTAGTCAATGTGTCCTACTTGAGTGTGGCTAGGTGGTGTTAAAAACTTGGCCTAAGAGTAGTTTTGTTCAGTATAAGTTGTTTATCATGAAATCAAAGGAATGTAAGGAACTTGATAAAGGACATTAATTTTTTTTCCACGTCTACAGTTCATTTAGGTTGCAAGAAAGCAAAAGAGAGTTAGACCTCTGCAGATAACAGGAAGGCTAAATAGTCTGAAGCAGTTACGCTCTATTTAATCCTTGATAGAGGCAGTCGACCTCTTCATGATGGATATTTGGCAGTCTTTTAGAAGTCTTACATGGACAATTTAAAATGTCAGCTGTGTTATAATTTTTGTTAAAGTAGTTTAACTCTCTCACTCATGCAGTCGCTTCCCCAATGTGGTCGCTTTGTCTGAATTTGCTGCAGCCATGAATAACAGCACACATGTTTGGTGAATCCCAACTAGGTATATGACCATTGAAACAGACAAAACAACACATTTTAGCTAAACTGCTAATGAGTTGCTTTAAAAATGCAGCTCACCATGTGCTATTAGATATCAAAATCAACCAATATTAAACCGCTATTCAATTCTACAGCAACAACGCAAGGAATGAGGAGGAAACTGATCCTAAATCAATAACAGCAGATAAGTATTCCAGAATCAAGGTTGAGGTTTCCTTATCAGTCACCCAAGTAAGAAGGGGTTGAACAAAAGTGCTGCAAGACGGCACACAAGTATAACAAAACAAGCAACATTGCAACAATAAATAATTAGGAAAAAGTTGATAGTAAAAATACCATTAATTACCTTTGTCTTTTGTAATTGTAATTAGTATCTGTTATCTTGTTCACCATCTTCACCAGATCTGTACTTTTGCTTTAACCTTTATGGTACCAAGGCAGCAGGGTGATCCCCCAATAACTGTCAAATTCAAGTAAAGTTTGTCCATGTTGGTTTAATGCATTGTATAAAATCTCTGTTTTAAGTGGTACGAGCAATTTGTGTTTGTCCCACAATGTGTTGTACACAAACAACAAATCTCATCATTTATACTCTCCAGGGAAGGGGAGATGGAGTCGACAAATTTCCATCTGCCGTTCGAAACAGGCTAGACAGAATTGCCCTGAAAGTGCAGGTTAGAGGAAGAGGAAATCCTACAGATTTGTTTCTGTTCATTTCCTACAAGCAATTTCACGAAAAAAATGGGGGATATATTTTTTAAACCACATTTTATCCGACATCAGTTCTTGATAACAGGTGACATTTACTGATTTTAAAGCTTTCAAACCACGAATCACCATTGACTGTTAATCCAGTTTTGTAAGCCAAATGGATGAGTTATAAATTTGTCAGTGAAATTAGGCAAATTAAAAAATCTTATTCAAACTTTTTTATGAGGATGTTTTCACACCTAATGGTGTATGTAGTAGACTTGGTTGAATTGGGGGCTAATATTACAATATGTTACATTTTCAGCTGGGGTGGTTGACTTCAATGCTGCAGGGTCTCAAAAGAACCAAGAACTTCAAAAAACTTCCTCCCCTCGCCTGTGGTGGCGCTGTTCCAAGGACCACCAATGGAAACAACACAAAATCCTCTAAAGAAGATATGGTTGCAATGTAAATAAAAATGCAGTAGCATTTCAGAGGTGGCAGGATTTCTCTTTTGTCCGGCTAGTATTAGACTTGTGCGTTTGTTTTGGTTCTATTTACCCAGAATGCCCTGCACTATAGTTCTCTTCCTGCTTTTGGAGCGATCTCCGGTCTGCTTGGCATCCAGATATGCATACAAACCACAATAGAGTTCACTTGAACCAAACCAAGACATAAGGTTTTAGGTCAGAGTTAGTTTTTTTGGTCGTCATTAAAGTTCGATTACGTATTCACACCTCCCCAAATGAACCAGACTTTCTCGGCAAACAAAGTGCAGTTTGATTAAAGTGGACTAAATAGGGCTGGTGTGAATTCATCCTAAAAAGTTGATTTTTATAACCTGACAGATTAACATGAAAGAATAAAATTGTGAAAACCAAACACTAAATGTCCTATTTACACAATTCAAAAGATCATTGGCTGTGTTATAATTTCTTTTTAAAAGTGATGAATTCAGAAAATGAGAACCAAGAACATTCCTCTCTGCAATGTGGCCAGTTCCGCTGATTCACTGCTCTTTAGTATGACCACCACACCATCTGGTCTGTTCACTGAAGCCATTTATAATGCAGAATATACGGTAAAGTCTATTTACTCTTCACAAGATAACAGAAAACAAATTCACATTTTAATTCAAGTGACATTTTTATGGTTCTCCCCAAATTTTCTGTAAGAAAAAACTTGGAAAAGGCCATTGTCCCTTCTATTAAACAAAGGTTAGTTTCAATTTAGAAAATAATCAAAACAAGTTTGTTTTCGTTTCTTGTAAAAATCTCTTTATATTTGGTCTAATGTACAGAGCATGCGCTGTAAAACCGAGAAAGCAGTAAAACTGCAGTCAGTTTTTATTTATTTTTTTTGCTGGCCTGTTGTTTTGTAATCTGGCAGGACTTTCAGGTCCCCCTGGTGTCAGGACTGAACTTAATGAGCATGTAAAGTGTAAATCCTGCTACTGGCAGACTGATCTCCGCTGTCTCCACAAAAAGATTTACCATCTTCCACCAAGCTCTAAGAAGCCAAATGTTTTTTACTCAGGAGAGAAAAAAAACTCGAGATTTTATATTGATTCTTTCAATTCACGGTCCTACCTCTTGTGTAATTTGGAAAATGGAATTGTTCTATGAAAGACAAAAATATAGCCTGACTTTAATGGAAATTCTACGGTTGGAAAATTCATGCTGCGTAAAGTGTTTTACACTTTAAAATTTAATGCAAAGTCGAAACTTCAATTATATGCACATGCTGCTGGTCTGCTGCTTACGTTCTGGAATCAAATGTAAATGGACAGAGCTGTAGGAGGCAGTGTGTTTTCCTTTCACAGCAACACTTGGTCCAAAAGGACTCAACTACCCTAAACATTACAAAATAGAAGCTCAATGATCCCGAAAGGATCTGAAGGCATAAGAGTTTCAAATACTATTTTCCTGCTTAGCAGTTATAAACTAACAGAAAATTAAGCAGCTAAACATCATTTTTGGAAATTAGTTGCATGGAACAGCTAAAAGCACAGTTTCCTTGTAGCAAAAAAAACCTTAGGTTCAATTCCACACTTAGGATCTTTTTGCATCGCGACATGTTCTTTCTTCTCTTTTATTTGAGTTAGTTTTCACAAACGACTTTGATTTTCTCCCATGTTCCAAAAACATGCATGTCAGGTGAACTAGTCTCTAAATTTCCCTTAGGAATGAGTGTTGAGTGTTTGCCTGCTGTGATAGAAAGGTGACTTGCCCTACTCTGCATGTATGCACGATGGATGATGGTTTCAGTGGAAACTATACAGTTATTTTTCTTTAAAAAAATTTTTAAACACCACTGTTGCCCCTTCAATGGCTTTGGTAGTAACCGATGAAAGACTGCCAGCGAGGACGCATATCAGAATATCAGAAAAAACAACTTAATGTAGCTTTCTTGCGCTCTAAATGTTTAAAATACATTCAATAATAACTGAACTGGATATTTTTTTTGTTATTCCTCCAACAAATACAAACAGTGTCTGTTCGTATCAATGTGCCACAAGAGTACTAACATGGTAAAATGTTGTTTCTTCTTTACATCTGAAGATGGCGTTTAAAAAAATAATTTACATATCTGATGATAATTGCTATGAATACAGAGAACATCTCTATGATCTGTGGGTAGAACAATGAAAAACGCATGATATTTGATTCTCAAAATGGAATTCACCGTTAAATGCAGAAAATTATAGATTATCTATTCCTCATCCGGATTTTCCCTAAAAATCTGCATGTTTTTACTGTTTACACCAAAATTCTCAGAAAACCATATAGACCGTATTCGCTGTTGATGCTCCCTGTTTCATATATGCTTTATTTTCAGACATACAGGACATGTTAATAAAAAGGGTTAAAGAACGTTTTTTCTTTTTTTAAATATAGCTTTCTTTAAATTCCCATTAAACATAATTTCAAACAAAGAGGGTGTTTTGAATATGTTTACTTTGTGAGCCATATACAGAGAAAAACTGAAAGAAAATGGGATATAGATTCATTTGAAGATAAAAACGAGAGCTACATGGACACAAAATGGGAAGTCCCATATCTCTCTAGCTGAGAGAAGGTCACTCTTGACTTCGATGTGCGTTATCTGCATAATTATGTTTTCTGACAGCACAAAGAACTTAGGAAATGACTGATTAAAGACATTCCCAGTAGCAGTAATGGCTCTTCATTCTAATCAATTCCTTGTTATCAATAATAACAAATGGGTAGAGACAGGACGAAAATGAGGCTTTTGTACAGATGTATTCTGATAAACACGGGATCACTTTGTCTTCCCCATTGACTGGAGGCACTGACAAAACAACAGCAGCAGAGCACAGTTCAGACTATTTTTACCCTGCACTTCGACAGCCAAATCCATCAAATGTGAGACTGCTTCCTAAGCATTTGAATTGCAAGGACAAGGGTTAGCCTGAGCTCACCCAGACAGTTTATCTACAAATGCACCAACAGTCCAAAACATTTTGCTCCACTATATTTTTTTTTTTCATGCACCTGAAATTGCCCCCCTCCCCCCCAAAAAAGAGCCTCAGATGTAAAATCCTTCTACGGCACAGAGCACCAAAATGCTCCGTGTGCAACAGATGAATTTAATGTCAGCATTACAAGTCAGACAATGTAGTGGAGAGGTTATTATTTATGCCTTTAGAAAAAAAAAAAAAAAAGGAATCCCACAATGTGAGCTTACAATGTGGGCAGTGTAGATATTTTTGGAAAATGGATGACTGAACACGGTTTTAAGCTTTTTTTTTTATTTTTTAAAGCAGACTTATAATTACTGCATTTTCATGACACTCAATTTACTCTGCTGATATTGTTACACCACATCATGTCTGTCACAGCTATTGGTCTATTCGTACTGCAATTAAAATACAATGCTCCAGGCGCTGTTGAAGAAACTGGCAAAAAAGAAAAAAAACTGAGTGTGGCTGCTGCTTAGGTTTCACTAACTTTTAATGAGGGGCAGACAACTCATACTCAGTGGGATACATGCATTAATGTTGATCCTCTGTTCGCACATGGACTGCCATGCCTCAGCGTTGCCATGGTTGTCTGTTGCAAATCTTGACACACTGAATAAGACGTTCAGTAATTAATTAATTTCACAGGTGCTGCTGAAAATTCAAAGAGCACCATATGTAACAGTTTCCCTGCATGCCGAATTATGCAGGAAAAGTTACGATAAAATATGGAGAACAAGTGCATCCTAGTCAACAGCAAAGAGAAGAAGAACAGATCGAACGGCTGCTGACTAGAGAAAGACAAGTTATCAGGGTTTGTTGCACTGGATTGAGTTCAGAGGTGGACAAGATCTGATGTTCAAATATTGGACAAGATTGAGTGTCTTGCTAAGGTATTCACACACCCTACCGCCATAAATTTTAATGTTCTTGAGATTTTAAGGTTAATAAAGAGTAATGCATAATTGCAAAAGAGGATAGAAATTGATGCAGGGCTTGTTAATACAAGCAAATCATTTTTACTAGCTTTGCACATCTACTGCTTGAAATTTCTGTAAAACCTATTAAAGTTGCAGTATGTAACTTATGAGAAAATGTATCTTGCATATTTATTAAAAATGTTGCTTTGTCGTCACAGTATAAGACATATAATCTAGAAAAAAAAAGAGCTCCTCTGCCTTCTCCCAGTACTAACATAAACAACCCAGACAGAAACAACCAATCAGAGCCAGGAGGCGGGTCGTAGCACTGTCAATCAAATTTGTGTACATGTCGTTCACATCCTCCCTGTTGCTCTCTGCTACACTATGTCGTCTAAAAATATGCATATTTCTTTTTACAGAAGTTACATACTGCAGCTTTAAGATCAGGCCGATTGTAAGGAGATTATTAATTACAATTTCTGAGTGTTTACACAAATTCTCAATTGGTCATAGATCTGGACCTTTCCAGGACCATTGTGTGTCATCCTTATATAGCTCTGGGTGTAGGTTTAGGGACAATGCCCTTACACAAACCATTGAAGTTTGTAGAAATGACAATGTTTTCATTAACTTAATGTTATTTCATTAAATTTTTTTAATCTTTCCTGCTGTATTGCAAAGTAAATTCATATTTTGATCTATCATGCTTTACACACTGAGAATTGGTGCAACAGTGAAATTTAGTCCACACAAAAAAAACTTAAAAAAAAAAAAAAAAAAGAAAAGCAACTGCTGATTCCCTTACCCCTGGACTGACTAATATGTACAAAATCTCCTATTAACAGAACTGACTTTGGATAATGAAATTTTGATCTATGACATTTTGTATGGTAATAATCAGAAACGTGTCATTTTCCTGCAACAACGTCCTAAACTAAAATCTAACGTCCAACGTAAATTCATTGCAAAAGACGCAGAAGCACCAGATGCAGAAGTGCCTACTCTGAGCATGACAGAGCATTTGCAGCAATTATTGCAAACGTGTTTGACTTTTCTCGCAATGGCCATGTCACTGAGTGATCTATAACTGCTTACAAAAGTGATAAGAGTTTGATTAGCCAAGTGAAAAAAGTGTACGCTGACGAAGAAAATCAACTCACCCCAGCCCAAGCTGGGACCATGGTACTTCTTTTTAAAAGTACAAATCGTCTAAAAAAATTACTATAGATTTCCAATTTGCTGTTCATGCATTTGGAAGAACAGTAGTGCAGCCATAAATCCCTAGCCTTCTAAACTTTCATTTAGCTTCTGCCTTCCATTTTATGGCAGCAGCTGCTCCTCGTGTTCTTCAGTCATTCAGTCACCCAAAAAAAAAAGTGCGACTTGAGAAAAGGAGATCC